ATAAAATTAAAAGCATTTTAACTATCGAAGAGTGCCAAGGACCATTTTGTTCAAACACTAGCTCAGTAGAAGTTGTATATGCCTGTAGATTCATCAATATAAAAATCAATCATTTAGCTTTTAAAGCTTTGCATTCCATTGGCTCAATTCAAGATGAAATAAATAAATTAAAATAAAAAAAAATATATTTTTTAAAAAAGTCGAATTTTTCTAGTAAATTTCGGCGAAGCGCGTATCGAAGCTTGAGTTGATGACGTATGTGATAACGTTTGAAGCCTCGCGAGCCGGTGTTATGCCGTGGAATGCATCCCAACCACTCATTAGCTTCTTAAAGTGGGAGAAAATTATGTTATATTTAAAACAAAACACGAGTATTAGATCATGACAACATGTCAAACGGAGCAGCAAACTTTCCCTCTGTTTTTATGTGTCTAAAAAAATGTACATAGAGAGGTGTACTTGGGTATATAAACTGTACAGTACGCTGTTAAGGTAGAGAACATTATATTTTAGGGACAGCAAATATTCCCAATCAGAGGGCTGTTGTTTTCGGTTTATCTGGACAACCAATCCAATGGTAGGGAAACTTGGATTATTTCGCCTTGTTCTGTACTTTCAACCGTGCTTCCGTCAGGGGGTGCATTTTACGGCAGGGGTGCAATCTACGGCAGAACACCGGTCGTACCACGTGACTGATTCAGGAACCGGCTCGCGGTTTTGGCGGGTGATTTAAAATCTGACGGGCAGCGAAACGCGACGGAGTACCGCTAAAAGTCCGTAGACTTGTTGTTTTTTAGTGAAAATGAATGAAATATTAACGTGTTCGATGCTGCTCCCGTAACAACGCACAGTCACAAACCGAGTTACACACAAGCACACTCACATCACAACTGTCTCCATTACTATTTATGTCCTGTTCCCCTTTTCACCCTGCTACTGTGTCATAAAGACAGACAAAATATCAATAACTTAATAATTTCTGTATATCTCAAACACATGGCGTCACATTCATTCATGCATTTATTCCATTCAGAGATTCGCACACCAAAGGGGGTGTCTCTGATAATCACTCTGCCTGTTTTACATTTATTGTCCACGATGGCACAGTTGAGCAAATGAAGTTTCAGACCAGAGTAAAGTAAATGCGTGGAAATAATGATTCAAGTGGCTTCATGTCACGATCATCCACTGAGTCCTTACCTGTGCTCTGGACGAAGGTGTTGCTTCCTCTCAGTTTGCTGGCGAATGGCCCGATAGCGTCAGGTGACCCTATTTTGAACCCTGTGACCACTCCCACGGGGCGTTATTAATTACATAATTTCAAACAAACCGAAATTTTCTCACCATCTGAAGGCAGTTTATTCCTCTAAACTCTTAATCCATCCGCAATCACTTATTTTACACTTTTATATTCACTTAATTTCAACAATAGAATGTTTTTTTTTTATCATATTTGTTCATTTCTGAACCACGTGACCGTCATTTCGTATTTACTCTGTGGAAATCCACCGCCTCGGTTTGAGTGCCCACTGAGCAAAAGACGTATATTAGACGTCTAGTCTAAATTTATTCTTCATTTCAGCGTCGGGATTCGGTCTATTTTTGGACGTGATTTAGACGTATAAATGTATGCGTCTAATTCCGTTCTATTTCCGCCAAGAGCGAAGTAGTCCGTGATCAAAGTTATCGGCATAGCCGCAATACAACGAGATGAGCGACAAAAAAGTATTTGGTAGCTCTGCAAGAGCCCAGCTTAACACCCGTATGGAGATCGGACCATAATCGGACCATAACATGAAAACGGCTTCAAATTGTGGACCGCACAACATCCGGCTGAAGCATTGCGCTCTGTCCATACTCAACCTCACGGCCGTCGGAGTAAACCAGAAGTTCCCGGAGTCGCGGAGTTCGAGAGTTATACATTCTGCTGAAAAGAGGTGGGTGCTGAAACAGATATTATAGAAAGTGTTTATTTTTGCAAGCTTTGGTCCTCCCACCGTCGTGCATCATGATGCGTGACGGTGAAATGCATTTACAGCAAGTGTTAAACTCGAGTTCGCATGTAGCCTGGTTGCTACTACAAGGGCTAGCTTGTGGCTAGTTTAGCCAGCATCAAATAGTCCATGCTAACGTGTGTTGGCGTGAAAGTAAATAAGGGCCTGCTCTCTCTGTTGGAGCCAAGTTTAAAAACTGCTAGTTAGGCTATCCATTTAATTAGAAAATGAAGCCTATTTTGATGCCAGTACTGTTGTTTTTGTTTATCCAGTGGTATTTTTTCAAATAATTAAATTTGTGTTTAACTGTTATTGTCATAGATTGTGTTTTCACTATGTGTGGTAGAAATGGGACGCATTAGTTGAATTATTCCAATATTATTTTGTTAATGCATTAGCAGTGCTATAGGAAATGCTAATAGTAAAAATCTAAAAGTACTGGTATCGACATATTTTTTACCAAGAGCAAAAGGTATTCATTATGCATTATGTCCTGTTTCACAAGTTGCCAATTGTACTAAAAAAACAAAACAATTTTATAATGGTTGATCTACAAGCTCAAACTGTTATTAACATTATTGTTTTTCTACTTTCTTTTTTCCATGTGTTTTCTTTCCAGCCATATTAAATATGGCCTCTAATTATTGAAAGAGTGGCGGAGAAAAAGAGCTAGGGAGGGTGATTTCATGGATGAATATTTGAATTGGATTCAAGGTAAGGATTTATCAGGTTTAGCAGTGGTTTTTAAGTAGGGTCGGGGCTATTTTAAAATAGTGCAACAGCATATGATTTTGTGTTTAACAGCCAAAGTTAAGCACCACACTCATCATCCATTTATTGTCTCGTTCTCAGATTTTGCAGCGAGGAAGAGGGTTTATTCCTACCCAATGCCTGAGAAAAGTAAGAGTGGCATAACTACAGAACAAAATGTTTTACTAGATGTGAAATTAAAAAAATTGTTTTTCCCACTCCATGACTGTAATGGTTATATTCTGAGTTAAAAATGTACTGTGATTTCAATTACAGTGGACTGATGGTTGCCAAATGTAGATCAGTGTTAAATTATGAATGAGCATGACTGTAGAAGCTATTCTGAAAGGTCCAGAAAGAGAAGCAACATTGCCGAAATAGAACATCCTGGGAGTATGTGTATCAAGGTTAGCAGCAGGTAACTTTTGGTGTGGAGAATCTGGCTCCACAGATGGTGTTTCCTGTGAATACTTTCAATTTACATATATCAGATGCTTATGGTAATATGCATTGTTGATATTTAGTAAATTTACTAAAATATTTACAAGACACGATTGTGCCTTTAGACGTCCATTGGACATGTAGTCTAAAAATGGTTTAACAGTGGTATAGAAATGAAAGTTTAATAGACTCGTTCGGTCGGCGCCGTAGGCTGACCGGGGACCTGTGGGGTCCAGCGGCTGCCGCTGCTGGGACCGTCCGCGCGGTATTTGGTAGAAGCATGAACGTCATATGTACGTCTAACATAAAGACGTTTAAATGAAAACGTCTATCGGGCGTCATTTCAACGTTATAGACGGAACAATGTATAAATCAAAACGTTTAAACAACGTATAAATGTCGATGTTGAAAAAACTTTCATTTCTATACTTCTGTTATACCGAATTTAGACTAGACGTCTAGTCTAAATTTAAACGTATATTAGACGTATAATCAACCTCAAAATGCTCGCTGGGTCAATATTAACAGTTGGACAAAGTTCCTGTTATTTAAAGCAAAAGAAAGAGAAAACAGACGCAGTTGCATTGTCAATACCCTGGCAGGAAGTGAGTCTGAAATGTCAAACTGGAACTGAAGAAATCACTGACATTGTCCCAAGAGGGTCCTGAGTTATGAGAAACAGAGGTATCATGAATTACTGTAAAAAGCCTGTGCATGCTTCTGCAACTGTTTGTCTTCAGCTGTTGACTTTAACTTCACAAGATTAGCCATCATACTCACTTCACTGCAGACTCCGGGTGCTTCACTGCATCTGTGTATGTTAGATTAATCTCAAGTCCAAGTGGATTTTTTCGCCAAATTGGAATATTTCTGCTCCAGTGATCTAGATCTATTCTGCTTTCAAGAGTAGAAATGATAGAAACAGACAAAAACAAACCCCAAAATCTTTTTCAAAGTTATTTTTATTTGATTGTTCCAGTAAAATGAGCCACTCAAATCTTTTAAAATCAACAACATGGATGATACAGAATGATTATGTTGAAATGAAGAGAGCGGTTTTGTTTTTTGGTAATCAATTAATCAAATAGGCATGATATTGTATATTGTATCAATCAATCAAATTGTATTTATATAGCGCCAATTCACAACAGTCGTCATCTCAAGACGCTTTTCAAGGAACAAGAGCAGGTCTAGACCACGCTCATTGTTTGATGATCAAGAACCAACCCGAAGATGGGCTTTGGCCCATCTCAACTAACATGAGTAGCAGTGGCAAGGAAAAACTTCCTCTCAACAGGCAGAAACCTTGGGCAGGACCAGACTCATGTTAGACAGCCACCATGCCGCTGCTGGGTGGGGAGGAATGTCGAGTGAAGAGGGGAGAGGGGAGAGGACAGGGGGAGAGAGAGAGAACAAGATAAGGGAAGGCGAGAGAGAATGAGTAAGGAGAGGGAGGGGGAGGGGGAGAGAGTTGAGAACGAGGGCGAGATAGAGACAGGGGGCAGCAGAAACAACAGCAGCAACAACAACAGCTCATGTAATGGTGAAGAAAAAAAAGTTCAGTTTACAGGGTTATGATATGAGTGATTATGGACAGTGTTAAATTAATTGAGTGTGATTACAGTTAGCAGGCCTAATTGTAGTCAATTCTAGTTTATGTTATTAATGTCAGTAATGTCAGTGAGGCTGATGTTCATGTCTGCATGTCTGTAGGACTACTGTATAACACAAACTTTTCCTTCTTTGCCACTCTTTTCGTCAACCTCATCAGCGAGGAAATTCATTTGATTTCCATTTCTTACGTCATTTCCATCTCTAGCTCTGGATAAAAGGCATGTCCAGGAGGGCTTTGTTTTTCTCTGACATCTGCAAACCTTCACACAGGGAATCACAGATGTTCCCCCATGCGTCAATCTCTGAGCGCCACAGTGCCGCTCTGGCCCTGATGATCTGAGACACCTCTGTCTCACTGCCTTTAGACAGACTGATGCTGTCTTTGCAGATGAAGAACACATCCATGCCAAGAAAAAGGGCATTGAGCACAATGAAACCTGCCCTGGATGATTTAGAGAGGGCAAGGGGTCCCTTCACTGCTGCCTGTCCCAGATCTGGGATGTCTGCAGCCACCCTGGGGACGTTGCGTAAAGCTTTACCTTCCTGAGCCACCACCTTACCAGCACGTACAATCACCTCCTCATTTTTTACGGAGCACATTGAAAACTGCTCCTAAAGGAAGTGCTTCTAGGTCGGGGACTGTTTGAGAGCTGGCCTCGTCCAGACAATTCTGGATACTCTGCACGTCCTCCATGAACCTCTTGAAGACCCCATCAGCTCTTTCTCGTTGTGTTTGGTTTACTTCGATCTCTGTTGTCGTAGTGACCATACTATTGACCCCACTAGTGATGCCGAGCCCTAACCCAGCCATGTTAAGACCCAGAGATACGCCAGCTGTAACAGGAATCAAGGCCAAACCAATGATGGAGAGCACGCCACCAACAGCCCCGACTGAGCTGCCCACTACACTGGAGATCTTTGCACCCTTATTCATACGATCGAGCTGAACAGCAGATTCCTCCAGCTCATCAAGAAACTGCAGCATCTGAGGTCGCCGTTTGTTGAACTCATCCAGGAAGCTAGAGCAGAATTTGTCAAGAAAAAGATAGACCAGCCGGAAGTGTTGGTTCATCCTGATAAAGAGAGAAGAGTAAATAACAAAAGTAGGTTAGAGATAAGTTACAATTAATGTCCCCATCAGTCAAAAATGTAAAATGTGCTGATGGCTACTATGAAAGCAACCTGAGCTTAAATAACACTCCAGCAGAGCCACAGACTGATCATCTCCACACCACGCCACAGTGATGCAGTGATTCATGCAGACGGAGCCCCGACCGTGTACAGAGAGAAGAAATGAACAGTTTCCTACGGTTGACATTTCTGTATCATTGATCCTTTTTTCTAAACGGTCCTTTGAGATATTTTATTCTTGAGCTGAGCCTGTATGTCAGTTATTTTGCATTATGTAAATAAATATCTTTGAAATATTTCATTAGATCACAATTACAATATAGGAAATGGTACAATCTTGCACAGAGTCTATAAAAATCCTCAAAGTATAATGTTAACCTGATGTCATCCAGCTGCTTGATGTGATCAAGCATCCTCTGCACCTCATCTTCAGACAGATCCACACTCAGGTCCACCTCAGTCTTCTTAGTCATCTTCAGGTCAAAGTCACTGACAGTGCTGTTGAGACACAGACACATTTAATAACTTCAATGGGCTTCTGTTGAACAAAATGTGCACACTACTGTAAAGGAATGCCACTTTACCTTTTCTCCATCATCCCACAGATCCTTTGGGTGGTCTGGATGTATCTTTCCAGCTGATTTGCCAGAACTTCCACATTCTGCAGTTTGGGAAAGAAGAAGACAGCTGCATCTCTTTTAAACTTCAGAAGCAGAGGGCAGGTCTGTCGTGCAGCAGCGATTGCAACCTGAATATCATCAGGGCCGACCCCTTTTGGCAGGTGAAACACCACCTTCCCCTCCTCTGAGAACACACTAAGTGAGGTGACTGCCAGCCTCTCCACTGCATCCAAGAAACAGTGGAGCTTCTTCAGCTCTAACAAAGTGTCTTTCAGCACAGCAGTCAGCTCATTCTCCAGCTCCTCACGTGTGCTGTTGGTGCTCTTCATATACTCCACAAAGGCTTTTCCTTTGCTCTCTGACTTGGTAACATGGCCAATGCCTAGATTGATCCTGTCAGCCCTTTCTTTGATATCCCTTAGCCTTTTCAGCTCTGACTCTCTGCCCAGCACCCATTTAGAGATACTCTGGCAGAATTTCCTCACTGTGTCGATGTAGATGAGGGTGTCAATGGTGTAGCGGCACAAGGCCCCCCGGAGCTCCTTTCTATACAGAAAAACAGATGGCATAACCTTAAAGATCAAGTGTTGAAATGAAGTTTTTTTCCTTTCTTTGCATTTGAACTTCTTCCTAATAATGAAAACCAGGTACTGGCCATTTCAGGGCCTAAAATTTCAGTTTGTTGTTGAAGTTACATGCCATGGCCAGCAGATGTCACCAGAGGAGGTTTACACACGATATCAACATGCATTGTATCATTATGGTTCCAAAGAACAAACTTTATCATAGTTATGTAATATTGCAAGGTAGAAAATTGTGATGTTAACAATGTAAATACCCTATTTTTTTCCTACTTAATTCGTGTCCATTTCTTTTTCCTTTCTTTATTTAAGCGAACACTGAAATCTTCCTACAGATCACGTAGTGCGTGCATGTGAGCTAAAAATGACAATGTTTAATCAGTGTCATGAACAAAAGTCAGCTTATCTGATCACATTCGACTTTCTTTTCTGCTGATGTGTCAGTGAAAGAAGCTCAAAGTTTCTTACCTTGGCGCAGACATGTTTTTCCTCTGTCTGATGTCTCTGTGAGTTTTACTGAGCATTGTACGCTATTTTATTATTTCAATAATTCATAAATGAAGTTGTTCAATAAAAACTGACTGACTGCACTTCATTTAATCTGCTGTTTGTGCTGTCATACATGCATGGTCATACAGACATCGTACAGGACCCTCATAATGAGTTTGTGATTTTTTAACCCATGCAGTGATTCCCACTCCAGAGTCCTGTCTGTTTTTTAATACAGTGCTGTCTGAGGGCCTGTAGATCAGGACCTTCCAGTCTTGGTTTTGGTCCTTGTCCCTTTTGTACAGAGATTTCTCCAGATTCTCTGAATCTTTTAATGATATTATGTTCTGTAGATGATAAAATCCACTCATTCTTTCACATCTGACACTCAGGAACATTATTCTGAAACTGTTGAACTATTAGCTCACACAGTCTCTCACAGAGTGGTGAACCTCTTCCCATCTTTCCTTCTGAGAGACTCAGTGTCTCTAAATGTCCTTTTAATACCCAGTCATGACACTAACCTGTTGGACATTAACCTCATTGATTGGAGATGTTCCTCCAGTTGGTTTTATTAGCATTACACAACTTTTTACCTGTTTGGTTGTTCCTGTAACACTTAGAAAATAGAGGAAACTTTCCATAAATCAACAGCATTTTGTAAACATTTGATGTGTTGTTTTAGCCCTATTTTAGAGAAATGCAAACTTTAAATGATTTACAAACCATTAAATTTTGTTTTTATTGTTGTTTTATCAAGTGTTTGTACTTGTTTGGGTTAGTGTATTTTTATTTCAGTTCAGTTTTCAAAGATGTTTCTTCTTTCTGTATTGTTTTTGTAGGGAAATCTGCCTCGCATATGCATCATTCGTTTGCAGAGACAGCAGCACAAAATCACTGAAGAAGAGTGCAGGAAGTCTAACAACAGAAATTGTCATGTGAGTATTTTTTGTGATTTTGTGGATGAAGTGTGGAAACTTTAAACTGACAACACTTTGACGCAGTGTGGACTGAAATGGGGATGTGAAAACATGTTTGTTGACATAAGGTGTTAATTCTTTTTTGCACACAGACAGACATAAAACAGCTTGCTGAAAGCTTGGACATCTGATAGCATTTGATGAAATCCCTCTTTCAAATAAAGGAGCTCTAACCAGAAATGGGGCATGATGTACAGAAACAACATTCACTCTCTCACAAAAATCAAAATATTTCTTTGAGTTCAAACATGAGAGTAACATGATCAATGATTCTCTCTTCCTGCAGAAAACATCGTTTACATTTGCTGAATCAGAAGCAGCCAATCAAAGTGCTGTGCTAAGGTTAAGATGTGTGTTAGGATGTTAAACTCACTCACACACACACACACACAGTCTGAAGACGTGTGTGTGTTGTTCGGGGTGCGGCTGATGCCTTGTTTCACTCAGTCCTGATAATTGTTTAAATATGTCAGATTAAAGAGCTCACTGTGTTCAGATCTGAGCGCTCTTGGTTAAACTAACACTCAAAAAGTGTCTGGAGAAAGCTTTCAAACTTTACTTCAAACTTTTCTTTGCTGTTTCTCCATAATAAATCAGTGTGGGATGTTTTCCACTCATGCTTTTACTTTGAAGGGGTTTTAATCCGTCCACATCCTCACGCTCATTCAACCAAGTCCAACGTTTTCTCTTTGTGTTCAATCACTTTTTCTTTCCTCTGATGCTCGACAGCTGGCTGCTCTTTCCCTCTTTTCCTGTGTGTTTGTGTGTGTGTGTGTGCGCGCTCCTCCCCCATCCCTCGATCACACACTGTTTCTCATTGTTAGAGACGACAGCAGTGATAACAATGCAAAGAAGAAGCACAGCTCTGCAGCCTGAGAAAAAACACCAAACATGCACACGCTTATGCTGCAGGTGAACACACTTATGCTGCAGGTGAACACACACACACACACACACACACACACACACACACACACACACACACACACACACACACACACACGCACAGGAAAACCACCATAACAACCTGTCAAAGGCAGGCAACCTGTCATACTTATCAGAGAAATGGAGTGCGATGCTGAGATAAATTTTAGTATATCATTTAAAGGTAAATCAAGTTCATCTACTTCACATGTTGCTGCTACAAGGTGACTCACGGTGCTTCACATCAGACATTAAAAGAAACACGGCAAAGGTCAGAAACACACACTGAGAGTAAACATTAAAAAACCATTAAACGTTTTTAAAAAGTCATCAAAACTACCATTAAAATTTGAAAAAGAAAAGATAAAGATAGCTGAAACAGAAGATGAAATGTGTTATTATTAGATTGTTTTAAATAGAAGTATAAAAACGTGATGCTGAGTTGTTTTTAGAACTTATATATGAGACTGAAGATATAATGTTTCCGTGACTCTAATTCTCATTTCCCTTTTTTGACTCAAAAAACTTCCTCTCAAACTTTAAAATTCTGAGGAGCTGCAGAGGAGGAAGGTGACCTTTGACTTTCATAAGAACACTGCGGCATGTGTGTGTGTGTGTGTGCGTGTGTGTGAGAGACCCAGTGCGTGTTACTGCTTGTTGTTGCAGAAGCATGAGCGGCATGGCTTGTTAACACACATTCAGAGCAGCTCCACGTACACACACAGTCAGAAGGTTCACACTGTTATAATTTTTCTATGTATCGATCCTTTAAACACTGTGGGTTTACGCAGGTTACTATGGTAACTTCAAATTCTCTTAGTGATGGACAGCATCAGGATCTGAGTCGGTCTGGAGTTTCTTCTCAGGACTACAGACTTTCTTTCCCCCTGACATTAATATATCTGAGTGTCCCTGTGTACAATGAACCTGCTCTTTGCTGCAGGTTTACTCTACTTTATTATTAGATTTTTAGTGGTATGAAGAAAAGTAGCTGCTTATGAGAAAACTCTAGAAAACAGTGGGTATTGGTTTGGTTATTACAGATCTAAAAGGAGTTTGTTTCTCATGAAAAACAGGAAAAAAGCAAAAATATGAAGAACACAGAAACCTCTCACTCTGAGTTAGAATATGAAGGAAGTCCTCTCAGACATGTTTGAAACATTAACCTCATGATATTCTGTTGTATTAGTTTTACCTGTCAGGTCATAGTCAGGGTCATGTGACCACCCCTTTCTGGTTGATAAAGGCTCTTAGAGATGGAAACATGTAAGTGATTTTCTATCTTTGTTACATTTAACTGTCTGAGCGGTGTGTGTGTTTGAAGTACAGACTGATCCCTGCAGATAGAGTGTGTGTTTTTATCCTCCTCTGACTCAGCCTGGATCCTCTCTTAACCTGGAGGTGTATCTGCACAGCATGCTCCGTCTCCACCCATCCACCTTATCAACCTGCTGCAGAGCGCCTCCACGGCTGAGATACACCCCCCGCAGAGTGTCAGCCAGCTGATACTCAGAGTTACATCACACACATACGCACACGCACACTCAGGATGTGGTCAGGATGTGACTCTGCAGAAACTCCTCCTCTGAGCAGGTATACAGGCGTCGTGGAGCCTCAGCACTCTGAGCAGTGATGAAAACATAAATCAATGATGTGAAATTGTTATTATTTTTATGAAAACTGATAAGTAACAACACACTGATAACACCAACAAACATTACAACAACACCAAATTAAGAAGCACTTTGAGAAGAATTGCACACAGCTGATGGAGCAGAGGGAGAATGTTGGAAAGAGATGGATCACTTTTAGAAATGTGGTTCATGTAGGAGCAGATGAGAATGAACATGTAACAAACCACAACTACATTAGTAGTTTAAACTCCAATGTAATCATATGTAAACAGTCTGAAGTATGAAATACTGCAATTCAAATGAATATAACTTATTTAAAAAAAAGTAAAAGTTTGGAAAATCATTTAACTTTCAAATCCTGTGAAAACACTGATGATACATTATTAGGTTTCAACATAGTGTGATATAATACTACTCAATACAGCACAGATACACTATAATACAGTATGATGTAATACATGAGAGTACAGAATGATTTAATATTGCATCATATGATATTACCGTATGCTGTATGATAATGATACAATAGATATAATGCAATAATATTCAGTTCAATACAATATAGTTTTTTTCAGGACAGTTCAAGTGAAACAATATAAACCATGAAACATGATACAGTACAATAAGATAAAACATTCAATAGGATATGTGATATGTGGAGAATATTGTCCCTGACTTGAATTGAAGTCATTCTTACATTGATTTTTATCCATAATCAATCAATCAATCAATCAATCAATAAATCTTTATTAATTTAGCGCCAGTTCACTACAATTGTTATCAATAAAGCTGGTCTAGATCAACCTGTATTTACAACGACTCAGTGTAAAGATGGGATCAGACTGAGCCTGGTCCTCTAAGATCAGACCCTCTCCCATCCCATCTTCAACCACCTGAGTGAAACACTTCGCAGCATTTATCAAGTTACAGTAAAGAGGAAGAACTTCCTTTAACAGGCAGAAACCTCGAGCAGGACCAGACACATGTTAGACAGTCATCTGCTGAGACTGTAAAAACAAAAACATTTGAGCAGAAATCACATTGGTCGCCATCACATTCTGCACAATTAAGAAAATAACAGACTCAGAAGGCTTTATTTATCCAAAAACATGAGACATCCAGAGGAAACACTGAACACATTAAATCTGCAGAATTGTCTGATGATTAAAAGAAAATCTGTGTTTGGAGTTTTTTCAGCCTGTTGAATCAAACTCAGGCTGATTTTAACTTTGATTTAATATTGCTCTGAGTGCGATCTCCTTATTGAGCAGTTTGTCTCCATCTCCTCTGATCTTCACTCTCATCTGTCCAACAAGAACACAGAAAATCACACTCAGAGTCATTTCCCTCCATGAAACCAGCAGCAGGAAATCCTCTCCAGATGGAGCTGATGGTCCTTCCCTGACGCCTCTGTGATCACTGATTAATCTGGATCTGTGTGGTTTATGCAAGACT